TCCTCCTCCGCCGCGCCGTGCTGGGCGTTCTCGTCCCGCCGCCTCCGTGTGAGTTTTAGCAAGCTGCGGTAATCCCTTTTCCTTAGCTGTGCTGCCCGCCCTCACACCTCCCCGGGCCGCAGGAGAGAACCTCCGGTCCTGCACGGTGAATCCCTTGGAGCCTGGCTGTGGCGCGGTGCAGGACGCGAGTGTGTCTGGAGCTCTCATGAGCCATGGACATTAAAAGATTTCAAGGACGTTTTCCCCCATTCATTCCAGTTATGTCCTCTGCTAAAATAGGTTAACGGTGTCTAATTAACCACTGCACATTGTCATGCTGCATAAAGATAGCATCCTGGCTGTTCTCTGAGCCCTGCCACTTTATCTCCATTTAGATCTCCGTGGTAGGCCATTAAATGAGAAAGAAACAGTTTAACAGAGATGATGTCTACATTGGAACTGCCTTTCACCCTTCAGCACAGAAGTTGCAGGCAGCTCAGCTGTGCATCAGGGGGCTGTGTGGGAGTAAAGTCTCGGGTCTGACGTTTAACCCGTTCTCATTAATGTGGACGAAGGATTCCTCCTGGGCAGAATGGAGCAAAGACAACACTCGAGAGAGAGAGATCAGATCTATATCCTCTGCCCCAGGGAAGAGCTAGGAGAGAAATAGGCATTCTGTACTAGGACTAACATACCATGGGGTTACACAAGGACTGTCAGGGTCTTACCCAGTTTCACAGCTATTGAATACCCTGAAATAGAGAGGGGGTAAGCAGCTGTCCAAAGCTATTGGGAATATTCTGGGAATATGGTTATGTTTGGGTGTGCTGACAGCCTCTCAGGGAAAGGGAGTTTAAAAGGAACTGTCCATGTGATGGTGTGAGTCCATGTTCTTTGCCCCTCCAGATGCAATGGACTTGGGATCATAAGTGAAAAAAACAGATGTATCCCTGTCTCACAAAAACGGGAAGTAGCTGGTGTATAATATAGCAGACTGAATGTATTTCTGACCACTGCTCCTGGGATTGTATTGGTTTGTTTATCCTTACTTGAGTGACTGTATCTGTAGTTCATATTCAGTTGCTCATTTTGTAGGTCCTTGTTGCTGCCCTCACTGGGCTGTGCCTGCTGCCACAGCAGACAAAACAGGGCAGTGCACTTCTTGTTGCTGAGAACATGAGAAAAGAGTAGGAAAGCTGTGTATGCTGGCTTGAGTTTGGTTAGGTTTGTTCCATGTCTGCTTTCACTCACCACTTGAAAGCTCGTGAGATGAATGAAGAGGGTGCTGTTTACCCAGACCTGATACTCCTGAAGGAGGAAATGTTTGTCTCAATGTGTGGCAATTGTCATTGGGTAAGATGAGACTGTTCTTAGGAAGAGGTACTCCACAATCCTTAAAGCAATGTGATAACATCATGAAGAAATCCTGTGAGGCTTCCCACAGTACTTGGAGAGCAAAGAGACAAGCAGCTGATTGATTCTGCAGGAATACTATCTCCAGGTATAGCTTAGCCCTCAGCTAAGTTTATGGAATGGACAGAATTGAAGGTGGGGCACATTTGAAGATCTATTAATGATTTCTCTTGCTGCCTTGAAGCCTTTTAACTTTAGGACATAAGACAAAACTCGTCTTTCCTCTCAGAGTCGCTTTGTTACATAGATTTAGGTACTGCAGTTTTGCCAAAAAAGCAAAAGACTATTTAAAGCAAAAATGTTTTGTCATTTTTTTCCCCCAATGTGAAACAAGGACTAAAAAAGTAATTTGGCACTAAACAAAATGAAAGGAAGCCTTATAAAAAAATTAGAGGAAATAGTGTTTCCTGGTATCTTCTTTGCTTGATCATTAGGGCCACAGAGAGTGTAAGACATACAATTCCCTCCTGTGCTACAGAAGCTTCACACTATATTTTTGTGTTAGTTTTCTACATGTGAGCTCATGAGCTGACTTGAAATGCTAGTTTCATCAAATAATGCTGTACCAAATAATATATTAACAAACATACCTAGTGCAGGTGACTGGAAGCAGATGTCTCTCCTAAACAGAAGAGCAGTCATTTCTATTTCTAGCTCCTGCTTCAGTGCCATTAGTATATAAATGCCCTGTATAAACCACAGTACTCTCAGCATGAGAGACTTGCCTCACCCAGTGCCACCGTTGGGACCTGTGGCACAAGGACTAAGGTGTTCTCCTGGGGGCACTGACCATGGGGCTGCAACTTGCCCTAGGAAGAGAAAGGAATGGTCTTGTTTGATGGGAGAGTTCTAACACCTGGGCTCTGGGGTTAAAGGGGACAGTACTGTATCTCCCCCTCCTTGCTGATGAGTTTGTTCCCCAAATTACTGTTTTTTCCAATATATGTTGCAGCTGTTTCATAATGAGGTATTTGCTTATTGTCCTGAATAAGTCTTTTCCTAACAACACAGAAAAGTTGAGAAAGCTGAAGTCTCAAAGCAGTCTCTGCCTCTAGGACTAACATGACTGCCTTCCCTGTGGGCCACCTGGATATCAGTCATGACAGGGAGCTTTAGGAAAAAGAAACAGAAATTGCTTACAGGGATAGTAGTAGTGACCTTTTCTCCTGGGAAGTATGAACATGTGGAGTGTTTCATTTCTGCCTGGAGACAGGAGCAAAGATGTAAGGAGTGTGAGTACTGAGGAAGAGAGTGTTACTTAGGGTTGGACAATCATCAAGAGTAACAGGATCCTGCCAAGAAGATGTTAAATTGAACTCCCAGGAAATCATCTCACTGTGCGTGGCTGTGAAATGCCATCATTTGGGACATTTCAGCTTGTAGAGGGCAAGGTTGTGTGGGAACCAGTTCTGGCATAAAGGAGGAATAAAATAGGAGAAATCTTGCATCATCTTTCTACCTCTGTCTTCTCAGAGTCTAAATGCCACTGAGTGCTGGTGGAGGGCTTTCCAAAGCCATCTATTTCTTTCTCCATAGTATCAGGAGGCTCACAGAAAATGCTTTGTACTACCACTGAGGAGAAGGATGGAGCTGGACAGTTCATCCTCAATGGAAGAGCTCTTTCCCCAGTTATGTTAAATGTTTGCCTCTGAATAGAGGGTGCAGTTACAGCTGAAAGCCCAGGTGCAGATGCCACCACACAGCTGCAGTTCTGATTATAACAGTTGATATTACTGGGCTCAGATCACTGATTTGGTGTATCTTTAGCTTCTCACAGACTGCAAGCTCCAGAGAGAGCAGTAGAGACAAAGGACTTTCTTCCCCTTATACTTCTCTGTATAGCTAGATATCCTCTCTGCCCTACTCCTTGCTCTTAGAAGAATAGATTATTCACAGGAGAGCTGGATGAAGATTGTGACTTTCTAGAACAGAGAGCAGATGAGAAGAGGCCTGCGCCCTGTCACAAAGTGCTTTGAAAAGGGAAGTGCAAGGCAGTGAAGCAACTTTTCTTATATCTTGGTGTGTCCTGGGACAGTGCATGTGATAGGGGAGAGCCCTGTGTATTCTTTGTCATGGCACACTGACTTCAGAGGAGGGGAGAATATTTATTCCCAACGCATAGACATGAAACTTCACTCTGCAAAATGGCCAAAGCAATCAGCGAGTGATGGAGTATCTGCTAAAAAGAAACCTGGCATTTAATTAACTTTTCAAAGTGCTGGTTCAGCAGTCTCCATGTTTTACATTTTGAATATTGAACAAGCATCCCTAATCGGGACTGAATTACTTCTGGGCTTGTTGGGGTGGAGAGCAAGAGAGCTGCCATTTGCCAGCACCTCCCCGCCATGTTATTATGAACTCCTGTTAACTCAGATAGGTCAACCCTGATTTTCTGCAGCAACTGCATGTCTGACCTGAGCTTGGCCAGCTCAGGTGGAACTCCTAACCTGAAAGGCAGCCAGAAAGTCTTTATGCACAACCACAGGGAGGAAGAAACTGTTGATCTCTCAGAAGTAGGTAGATGAAGTATAGCACCTTCACTCCATAATGCGCCAACCTCTCTACTCAGGTATGGCCAGCTTTACCTGCAGCTGATGGCAAAGGGAATAAAAAAGTATCTGAGAAACTAAAGAACCAGAGAGTATGGTTATGCCATATCTGGGCATGGCTGTCTTTTGGGACCCAAGTGGTTTTGTTTCAGTGTGCTGCAGTCAGGGACTTCTTCAGTGATCAAAGATACACTGGCTTAATAGTCACTCAGAATTCTTTACGGTGTGATGTGTTACATCAGACCTGATGCAGGTACTGTTTTGCACAATAACAATCATATGGGGAAAGGTTAAGTTTTTAGTTTTCTCTAGCCTTTTCTAAACATAAGCCTTCCTTGTCTTGCAGGTTAGGAAGAAAGCATGCAGAAGAAGTAGAAGAGTAAGTTCCCATTGTTGCTGAGATTTCTTCCACAACATTTACATCTGATCTGATCATCTGACCAGTACACCAAGATCTGAAAGTTGGGAAGGACACAGAACCTGTCAGGAATTCATATAATGTGTCCTGCGATGGGGCAAGGCTGGTCGTTCTATAGTTCCCTGGATATGGAGTAGATGATGGCTCTGTCACTCCCATGAAAGAAAAAAAAAGGAAAATTAGAAAGCCATTGCTTTCATCCCAGACCCACCCCAGGCCCTACTGTGTGCAGCCTAGGGATTTGTGTTAGGTACATCTTTCTTAAGCTGAGATTTCTGCTGAGCCCAGCAGTGAGGGGTATGATCAGTCTGTGTGCTAAGCCTACTTGTAAACTCTCTCATTGACAAACAATGAAGTCTGTGGGGAGAAAGGGGGCACAACAAAATATTTTTCTTGGCTTGCAATTGAAATTCTTTATTGTGCTTTGCTGCAGCCATCGTCTCAGACAGCAGAGCCTGGAGGCATCAGATGATGTCGGAGGTAAGGTATCACCTACTTGACTACAAGAAGTGCCTTCATGCATGTCTAGGGGCTTTCCAGTAAAGTGAGCAGAGACATCTTGTAAGAAATTGCAAGGAAATTAACCACTCTGGGGAATAAACAAATGTAGGAGCTGCTTAGGTCTCCCCAGATGAATGAGGGAGAAAGGGTAAAGGAGATGGAGAGGGAGGATGAGGAAATGAACTTGTAGTCTAACTCTAGTTTTTCATGAACACAGACTTATGGAGGACCCTTGGAAAGCAGGAAAGTGGCAAGGACACACTTTTCTCTGTAATTACCTCCATTGAGAATAGTGGACTGGGAAAAATGAGAGCTAAAAGCACAATAAAAGGTTAAGAGTGGGGAAAGAAGTCCCACTCTCTCCTGGTTTAGGTGATAGTAGGCTCTGCTTAAAGTATCTGTTATCTTTCACAGCAATATCCTTGTTGCCTGGGGTTTCTGTCATGATGGAATTCTTAATTTAAAAAATCTGCTTGCCCTAACCCAAGATCATAGATCATAAGCTAAATATAAACACTGATGGGTAATCCCATCTCATCCATGTACAGGCTGCTGTGAAATTTACTGGACTCCTGACTTAGCACTGGTTTTCTTTATAGTGTATATTACCTGCTCTTCTAGGACTAGATGAGTCAAGAGAAATCTCAGGAAAAATTCACATTATGCATTTCAAGACAAGCACTAGACAACTGTGAGGAGCACAGAAATTCATTAAAGCCTCTAGGAGGTACCTCAGTTTTCAAGGGCTAAGAATTTTTTACAGTGTATAAAAAGTCACATTTGTAAAATATCAGTAAGCATCAGAGGAATTATCTGGAGTCACAAAGGATCAGACATCTGTATGGTTTATGAGATTAAATGAAGACTTATTTGGGTCCTCCAGACAGATTAAGCATTGCAACATATGACTGCTAGAAGTGGCACCTTTATAGCATTGGCATCTTCAGAACAGACTAAATTGTCCCCCTGGGAAGTTCCTTGGGCTTAAATTTCAGTGTATGTCACTGAGGCTGGTAGTCTGTTCTGAACAGCTCTGACTGTTCGCATACGTCCTGTCCTTTTTGTTGAACCTTGGTCATGCACTTGGAATATGACTGTCTTTGCTAACCAGGCATAAAAATGCTTGCCACATGTTTGTTTGTAGCATGTGACTTTCAGCACTCCAAGACCTTGGGTAATAAGTATAGAACGGATTTGATGCAGAGTGTGGTATGAATACATGTTGAATCCTAATAGACTTCACTTACTTATCTGTGGTTAACAGTTGAATTTGGATTGTTTGCAAATTGGCATTTGGCTTTGGATTAAATCTATGCCTTAGAAGAAGGATGTAGTATGGTTCCTACCCAGTCAGTTTCTTGTACAAATATTTTGGGCTGTGGATCTAATTTGCACATAGAAAATCTCTAAATGGATGGTGCACTGCATGGTTGTGGTCCTATTTCGACAGGGAGATAAGGCAAACTGTTGTGGGAGAGAAATTCTCCATGTGGGCTCAGCAGTTGGAGTGACGAGAAGTGACATACAAACAAACTCTTGAACTTGAATAAAATTGCTTTTTTGAATAAGCAGAGAGATACAAATAACCGCCTTGTGTAGAAGGCAGGGAGAAGCATGCAGCGGCTGTGGCTGTGCAGTAAATTGAGCTGTATCAGCCTCTCCTTTGCATAGAACTGCACTTGAGTTTGTGTCCTTAACTGTAACAGCAAAGCTCAGTTTCTAAACACGGAAAAATAAAGACATTGGTGTATGGATCCCCAAGGATGGGTCACGGTTATTTTGTGCTGCATAATGTCTTAGCTTGTACACCTTAATATGAACAGGCGCGGTTGCGTAATGATTGCTGCTGTCAACCAATACATTTGGATCGCCTTCCTTTAACCTATTAGAAAGCTGAGCTGTACCATTCCATTAACATTGTTTGTCCCCCATCCAACCTTTTCATTAGAAGAATGAAGGACAGAACTATATGCCCTTAAAAAGGTGTTCTTGTGAATTTGAAATGTGCTTGGTCGTGATCGTTTATACATTACTAACAACCAGAGGCTCTGAGTTTGGAGTCCATTTGATAATGTGTTTAAAAAGTACAGGGGCTGTAGAGAACCCCATTTGGCAGGTGGAGAGTGGAGGGAAGCCAAGTGGGGACTTTTGGGCTTGATAGGCCTTGTAGTTTCAGAAATAAAAGTAGAATTCTTTCACTGCTCCTGGCCTGTGTATGAAATAGCATCTGATTCCTTATCTCTGTGGGAGTTTGGGAGAGAAGGACAGGCACTTCTCAGGCTGTGTGGAATGACTGAAACAATATGGGAGGTAGTAAGTGGGTGGACCAGACAGGGACACTGAGGGAATGATCTGCAGTTTCAGCCATTTGTTACAGTTGCACAGGGAACCCAGAAGGTGGAAAACAGTTTTGAAAAAGTGCAGTGTCTCCCCAAAAGTAGCTCTGGATTATCTGATTGATAACTAGGTTGATTTCCTACTGCACTCACTGCAGTCCTAGTGCCCGCCCTCCTGAACACATGCTGGTACTCATGAGAACTCAGGCACAGCAAATGCTTAACTTCTGTTAGAGGGTATGTGCCCACTGGACCTTGTCATGGGGGACCAGGTCCGATGCATGGTGAGAAAACTGCTTTAGCAGGATTTAATGCATCACACTTGAGGAATAATAAACCCTCACAAGCAACACAAAAGTGTTTAATTCCTAAAGGACAGGCCTAGTTAAGTCACTTTTGGCCAGGGGCAATTGGGGGCTTAATGCTTTGTATGTAGCAATCTGTGCAATCTTAGAGAGAGGAGTTTGAGGGTAATTGCTCAATTTTCTGTCCATGTCAACAGGGAAAATGAGCAGCAGTGACTGAGCTCTGTATGGCAGGAAAACTGCATGAGATGGGAGATGTGAGACTCTCTGTGGAATTTAAAAGGTGCTATCTGCAGTGCACTGCTTCCTTTTCTGTAGCAGCCAAGAGCTTCTCCCATGTGCAGACTATCCTTTGTCATGAGGTGGGAGCGAAGATGGGACAACCAAGCTGAATTGAAAGGCTTTATCCTCCCTTTGTTGCTTTCTCCAGCAGGGCATAGAGGGCTTTACTTGGCTCCTGTGTCTCTGGCACAGAACTAGATAGGGCTGTTTCCTGTCAGGGCAAGAAATGCTAACATTCCTCCCCCACCTCAGCAATCTGATTTGTCCTTTGGCTAGAAGTTACTTTGTTTTTCCTTTTTTTGTCTACCAGTTCTGCACTGCTGCGTTGTATTCCCCCTGATGTCTTTCTCCTTACTACTTTGCTCTTGGATTTTTCTTCTCAGCACTTTATGGGAACTTATTAGCTAAGGTTGTAATCCCTCTTCCAGCAATTCCCACATAGACTACTGCTCCATCATCAGAAGTCCCTTTCTGCTTTCTCTCTGCTACTCTTGGGATGCATAGCTCCTAGAAAAGGGCTTTTATTGGAAGTCTGGGATGTGATGTGTGATTTTCTGTCTGCAGTAACAACAGCTTGTTATTTTAAAGCAGATAGTGTGTATGAATGAGACAGCTGATTGAAATGAAAGCCTGACTATGCTACATAGACAACTGGAACCTGACCTGCAGGTGAGGAAAGCTGCCAGGAGACAGTCACTAGATCTGTGCCCTCAAGGCAAAACCCCTTCCTGCCTGCTGGGAAGCCTCCTCAAGGAAGCAGAGCTGATGATTAGACCTCTCTATACAATGTCAAACCTCTAGAAGGACTTCTTACCCTTCTGGCATGTGCTAGCAGCTCCTTTGCATTTGAACAGGATGAGAGTCCAGACTTTGAACAACAGAGGGGAAGTGTGCAGATGCCATGGTCCCAAATCCTTCTGGGTAGTGATATCTGCCAGGTGGGAGATCTGTAATTCACAGCTATAAAATATCCAACACTTTTTGGCTGCATGCAGATATACACCAATGATGATATTGCTCCAAACGGAGCTGAGAATAGAGCATAGAGAGGGTTATTGTTAGCTCTATCATTCCTTATCAATTTTGCCAGTTGCTTCTCTGGTGAGCTGCTGTTTCTACAGAGCACACAAAGTGCTGGTGGATTCCATAGGCCATGAGCTGCAAGGACAGCTGCAGTGGCTGAGCATGAGGGTAAGAGGGCAGAATTTGCAGGAACAGTCAGGGATATGGCCAATGGGTACTTCATAGGCTCAGAAGGCAATGTTGAAGTGATTTGAGGAGAGCTAAATGGAAGTTCTGAGCATCAGTGAAATGGAGACAAAGTGAAAGACATGCAAATGGGCTGAATAGAAGGTTTTGGGGCAGAGAGTGTCCACATCTCTCCCCTTTGCTGCTCGCCCACCCAATGCACTACTCTGATTCTCTGTGTGAGGTCACTGAAGGGCAGCCTGATGGTTGCCACTGAACTGTTGGACCAGGCCAGTTTGAACTCCTCCAAAAACTCCTGGCATTGTGATCTAGAGCCTCTGGTGCTGGAGGAAAGCTCTCTCTTGAGAGCCACAGTGGGCAGGGGAGTGCAGAGTGTATGTCCCCAGAGACTGTCTGAAGTTCTACTTGAAGCAGCAGACCACTGGCCAAGGGGCAGGGGGCTCCTTAATTACAAGGGAGCCCACAGAGCTTGTTGAGTGCTGAAAATGACGGTCTGGGGAAGCATCTTCTGTTGCTAAATTCTACGATGTGGTTGATACACAGTCATATTGGGTCTGTGATTGCTAAGTCCATAAATGTAGTTGACGGATTAGGTTTACCTAAAATACCCTTTAAGAAAAAGCTCTTGAAAGATGATTACAGAATTGAGACACCATCATTTAAAACTGCCTGAGGCAAACTCCTTTGAAAATTGCAGCAGTGGAGGGACAGAGAGAGAACCGCGTAGCCCTTGATTGTAGTGTCGTTCCCTCAGGACCCGTCCCCCCTCCTCCTCAGTTTCTCATCTGATATGAGAGAGAGCAGCAGTAAGATTCCTCATCTGTCTTATGAAAATCCGATTCTGAGT